TGGCCCCTTTTCGGCGCCCCCCAGCCGTTCTTGCAGGGTGTGGGTGCTGGCGGGGTCGCTGGAGCAGCCGAGCAGCTCAGAACGTGTAAGGTGAGGCGTTGACGTCCACGGTGCGGTGTACGGGGTGTACGTATTTCATCAGAGACCGCTCTCTGGGGCTGTAGCCAGGCGGAAGAGGACGTGGGTCCAGGAACAATGGGTAGAAGGAACAGGGCCATTTTCCATCACAGCCATTGGAAGAATTTGTGCTTATCTTTTCAAATCCAGGGTCTGCCGGGTTAGAAATCACATCGCCATCATCCCAGCTTCCACTTTCCCAGGCTATCATGGAGTTGGTGGGACACCTCTGTGTCCGGGAAAGCCTCGGGGGGAGGAGACATTTGAGAGCGGGATGTAATGGCAACGTGAAGGTGGACTTGGCCATCCCCTAACAAGTTCAGGTTGTCATTTGAGTGGTCCTGGGAGGACAATGCCAGAACTAGTCTTGTTTCCGGGATTCATATCCTGGTCCTTTGCTTTTGAACTTCTGAGAAATAGTGAACCTTTAGCAGAGGATACCGACTCCCAGAACCCTCACTGAACTGTCCCGGCGTGTCATCTCCTGGTTGAGAAATGGCCAGGGACTGGGAACACCTGGAGTGGACTTGGCTGAGCCCAGGAGAGTGCCATGGTGACGGGTAGTGACTGTGGGGGGTTCAGAGAGTTGGTCATGTCCCAGGGTTGTCAGCCATTCAGTCTGTCCTGCAGGTCACCACCAGGCTAGAAGGGTCTGTCCTACAGAGAAGACAAGGACAGAGACCAAAGGTGGTTGAGGAGCCAAAGTACATGTGGGGTCACCCAAACAATCCAGAATGGGGTGATGGGAACCTGGAAGGACATCTCAGTGACAGCATGAAAGGGAACGAGTGTTTGTGTCACTCGAAGCATGTCAGTCACTACAGGGCCAAGAAATGACTTCCTGCGAGGAAGAACGATGGGATGGGAAGAATATCACCAGGGGCAGAGGCTGAGAGTCAGAGGTGACAGGACAGGAGGTAAGGGAGTGAAAAAAGAGCTCGGGGTGGGTGACGGCCGAAGTCAGAGAGTCAGACACCTGGCTCCATTTAGTGGGATCTGACCGCCTTGGTGAGGGGTTCCCAGCAGACAGAAGAGTTCAAACTGTGAGAACATCAAATGTGGGTGGTCAAGGTATTCCCAGGCCTCACCAGCTGCCACCGACAGCCCTAAAGACTCCTGTCCAAGCTCACCTGGCCCATCAGCGTCCCCTGCTGGAGCACACTGAGAAGACCCTGAGAGTCCTGAGACAGCAGCCCTGTGTCATGTCCTGCTGCCTGCTGGGAAACCCCGATACAAGGGATCCAGCTCGTCAGGGATGAGGAGCACGGTCACCTGTGCTCTTGCTGAGGTCTTCCTGTGGCTTCATTTGTGCCCACTTCGTGTGACCTTGCGGTCTGAGCCCAGCTCTGTAAAACTCAAACAAACCCATAGAGGCCACGTGTCAGAAAAAATATTTACATGTGAACTCTTTTGGGGATATTGAGAGAAGTGCTCCAGGAGAAGAAGAGAGTGCACTGAGAAATAAGATTTGAGACCTGGGAAGCCAAGGGATCAGCTCTTTAAAGGAGAAGGGATACACAGGAGCAACGGGAAGAGGGGAGAGAAGCTGGTGGGGCGGTAGGCCCAGAAAGGGACAAAGCCTTCAGGGGGGAAGGTGGAGGGAGCCTTCACCTAGGAAATGACCTTGAACAACCACCTTGAG